TAACCCGGTGGGCGGGGCCTATATTATGGTCAGGGCCTCTACTATGGCCGAAGCCTCGGGTGTGGACGTGCCATATATTGTGGGCGTGGCCTGTATGATGGGCGGGGCCTGTATTGTGGTCAGGGCCTCTACTATGGGTGGGGCCTTTCATGTGGGCGTGGCCTATATTGTGGGCGGGGCCTAACCCGGTGGGCGGGGCCTATATTATGGTCAGGGCCTCTACTATGGGTGGTGCCTCTCCTGTGGGCGGGGCCTATATTATGGGCGTGGCCTCTACTATGGGCGAAGCCTAGCTGTGGGCGGGGCCTACCCCTAGTGGGCGTGGCCTATATTGTGGGCGGGGCCTTTATTATGGGTGGTGCCTCTCCTGTGGGCAGGCCCTCTACTATGGGCGGAGCCTGGCTGGGGGCGGGGCCTAACCAGGTGGGCGGGGCTTATATAGTGGGGGGCGGGGCCTGTATTGTGGGCGTGGCCTGTATTATGGGCGGGGCTTATATAGTGGGGGGCGGGGCCTGTATTATGGTCAGGCCCTCTACTATGGGCGAAGCCTCGGATGTTGGCATGCCATATATTGTGGGCGTGGCCTATATTGTGGGCGGGGCCTGTATTGTGGGCGGGGCCTATATTGTGGGCGGGCGGGCATCTACTATGGGTGGGGCCTTTCATGTGGGCGGGGCCTAACCCGGTGGGCGGGGCCTTTATTATGGTCAGGCCCTCTACTATGGGTGGTGCCTCTCCTGTGGGCAGGCCCTCTACTATGGGCGGAGCCTGGCTGGGGGCGGGGCCTAACCAGGTGGGTGGGGCTTATATAGTGGTGGGCGGGGCCTGTATTGTGGGCGTGGCCTGTATTATGGGCGGGGCTTATATAGTGGGGGGCGGGGCCTGTATTATGGTCAGGCCCTCTACTATGGGCGAAGCCTCGGATGTGGGCGTGCCATATATTGTGGGCGTGGCCTGTATTATGGGTGGGGCTTATATAGTGGGGGGCGGGGCCTATATAGTGGGGGGCGTGGCCTATATTGTGGGCTGGGCATCTAATGTGGGTGGGGCCTAACCCGGTGGGCGGGGCCTATATTATGGTCAGGCCCTCTACCATGGGTGGTGCCTCTCCTGTGGGCAGGCCCTCTACTATGGGCGGAGCCTGGCTGGGGGCGGGGCCTAACCAGGTGGGTGGGGCTTATATAGTGGGGGGCGGGGCCTATATTGTGGGCGGGGCCTCACCTCCTGGCAGCAGCGGCGGCTGACGGCGGCCCGGTGCTGGATTCGGGTCCAGAGCTCGTCTCTTTCCCTCAGGAATCGGGGGAAGTTCCTCCTCCAGCTCCTGCCCAGGGCCCACGGGAAGATCTCGTACTTACTCTCCTCCTCGTCCTCCTCCATGGTGTTGGCCAGGTAACTGGGAGAATAAAACACTAAAACGTTTAAATTGTTCATTTGCACGTTCAGTTCTACAGCAGGTTTGCCCACTTACAAAGAATGCAACGATCTATAACTTTAATCATATGTACATTTAAACAGTGAAAGACAGAATCCCATCATATCATGTCTCAAAATAAACTAAATGAAATTAAATGAAAATGAAATGAAATGAGGAAAAATAGGCATTCTTTGTAAGTGGGCAAACCTGCAACATCAGCAAGGGGTCAAATACTTATTTCCCCCACTATATATTTTTAAAGTTTGTATTTCTCAGTTTTATACTTTCTGTTCTACAGTGTGGGAAATAAGTATTTGAGCCCTTGCTGATTTTGCAGGTTTGCCCACTTACAAAGAATGCAACGATCTATAACTTTAATCATATGTACATTCTAACAGTGAAAGACAGAATCCCAAAGAAAATTCCAGAAAATCACATCATTTATAATTTATAAAAATTGATAACCATCTGATGAGCTTATACTTCATCCTGCTCCTTTTTGAAACATGATGCATGTTTGAGAAGCATTCTATGTAAACATTGTAAAATCATATCATGTTTCAAAATAAACTAAATGAAACTAAATGAAAATGAAATGAAATGAGGAAAAATAAGCATTCTTTGTAAGTGGGCACACCTGCAAAATCAGCAAGGGCTCAAATACTTATTTCCCCCACTATATATACAAAAATTGTATTTTTCGGTGTTATAATTTCTGTTCTATATTTTCATTTCTACATTTAATTTCCCTCCTTGCTTCTCATAGAAGTGTTTTGCACCAAACACCAAGGCAAATTCCTTGTAAGTCTAAAAACCTACTTGGCAATAAACCTTATTTTGATGTTCAGCTCCTAAGAAAAGATCTGAGCGACAGAAGTTTATATATTAAGTTATTATTAATTATTATTATTTATATATTAAAGCCGTAATCTCACAGTGCTATGAAGAAGTTGATCCGGGTGTATTCGGCCAGGGGGAAACGAGCCCGTTTGAAGTAAACGAAGGTCATGGCCAACAGGTACTGGAGGATAGGGAGAGAAGAGGGAGTCAAACTACCAACTCTCTTTATGGGACACAACCTTTAGCCCGGTCCCGATCCGATATCTGATCAGATATCAGATCCAGACTCCAGATCCAGTTTTTATTCACTTCCGATGCGATTCCGGTCTATCAGAGCATGTGTTAACCCTTTAAAGCCTGATCCAATAAAAACAGGAAGAATATTGGATTTTTTTAGTCTGAAGTCTTTCTTTGGCCCCTCAACAACATATGAAGAAAAAAAACAGACACTATTTTGATCAAATTAGCGTGCAATAAGTCAGAAATCTATGTTGGTGTAGTCTTCTACTGGCTGTTATCAGGTATATCTGAATGTGTACAACAGGGGTTTGAGCAAAGCTTTTACCACTGAATGATGCAGAAAGTCTCACATCCAAAAGAAACCCGATCAGATATGACACATTTGGCTTTATAGGGTTAAAGTCTAAATTTATTTATCTACTTACTTTGTTGTCAGACTCATGTTGAACAGGGATTTAGTCTGATAAAAACTTAATGGTTAGGACTCAGACCTGTGGGTTACAGATGCTAATGCTAATGCTAATGCTAATGTGGGATCGGACTTAAAAAAAAAATAAAAACTGGATCTGGAGTCTGGATTTTCTGGGTTAGGGTTAGGATGGATGGATGGATGATGAATAAAGGTTGGATGAATAGATAGATGGATGGATGGATGAATAGATAGATGGATGGATAGATGGATGGATGGATGGATGGATGGATGGATGGATGATGAATAAAGGTTGGATGAATAGATAGATGGATGGATGGATGAATAGATAGATCGATGAATCAATGGATGGATGGATGAATAGATAGATGGATAGATGGATGGATGGATGAATAGATAGATGGATAGATAGATAGATAGATAGATAGATAGATAGATAGATAGATAGATAGATAGATAGATAGATAGATAGATAGATGGGTGGATAAATAGATGGATGGATGAATGAATAGATAGATAGATAGATAGATAGAAGCTACCTTGTCTGTCATCTTGTAGCAGCAGTCCGCTCTCAGAAAGTCATGAATGACATCATCATCTGCAACCAATCAGAATCCACAGAAAAAATCTCCATAAACATTCCCATGTCTTCATCCATTTTCCTAATTCTGGAATCCGTTTGGAAACGGGAGCAGCAGCTAGCGTAGCAGCTAGCGTAGCCACTAGCGTAGCCATTAGCATAACAGCTAGCGTAGCCACTAGCGTAGCCGTTAGCATAGCAGCTAGCATAGCAGCTAGCGTAGCCGCTAACTCACCCAACAGCCGGAAGTAGGCGGCCATCTCCTGCCTCTGGACCACGGTGGTGGGGGCCGATTTGGGACCGGAGACCCGGTTCAGGCACAGGTGTTTCCTCACCTGCCGGTGGGGTGTCAAAAGTACCGATACTCAGAAAAGTATTGATACTAAAATGTTGTATTCGGATACGGTACTCATTTTCAAAAGTATCGATACTAAAATGTTGTATTCGGATACGGTACTCATTTTCAAAAGTATCGATACTAAAATGTTGTATTCGGATACGATACTCATTTTCAAAAGTATGGATATTAAAATGTTGTATTCGGATACGATACTCATTTTCAAAAGGATGGATACTAAAATGTTGTATTCGGATACGGTACTCATTTTCAAAAGTATCCATACTAAAATGTTGTATTCGGATACGATACTCATTTTCAAAAGTATTGATACTAAAATGTTGTATTCGGATACGATACTCATTTTCAAAAGTATTGATACCACCGCTGCGCCCCTTCTCTCAGATTTATTTATGTATTTATTTACGTTGTTTATGATCATTTACAAGACGTTAGCCTTGAACTGTTAGCTGCGGCTAATGGCTAATAATAACATGCTACCATTAGTCAAGTACATATCCAAGTACATAACAATTAATTAAACTCTATCCATAATATTGTGTTAAAATAATGTATGTTAAATAGTTTTGTACAATAAGTCCAAACAAGTTTAACCAAAAAATTTCTCACAATTATGAAGGGTTAGGGTTAGGGTTAGGATTATGGTCAGGCTCAAGGTTAGGCTTTGGGTTAGGATTATGGTCAGGGTTAGGGTCAGGGTTAGGGTTAGGGTTAGGGTCATTAATGTGGGCCACCATAACATCAGTAACAGGTCAGTTTGAAATGAAAGACACTAAACCGTCAAAATTAAGTAAACTTTCTGGGTATTTGTTTTTATCCTTGTGGTATCCAAAATGGTATTGAGTATTTTCCTGAGTATTGGTATGGAGTTGAACATTTTAGTATCGTGACCCTCACCTGGCGGACGTTCTTGCGCTTGACCCGCAGAGAGCCAGGAGGAGGAGGAGGAGTCTTCATCACGCTACCGGAGCATCTGAGGGAACACGCCATGTTTAGGGAACACGCCATGTTCAGGGAACACGCCATGTTCAGGGAACACGCCATGTTTAGGGAACACGCCATGTTTAGGGAACACGCCATGTTCAGGGAATTACACTCACACAGTTTAATAATGTCCTCTTATTATTATTAAACGCCATGTTTAGGGGAATGGAATTAGCCTCACACAGTCTAATAATGTCCTCTTATTATTAAACGCCATGTTTAGGGAACACGCCATGTTCAGGGGATTAAACTCAGACAGTCTAATGACTTCAGACTTTAACACAGACTCTGATAGGGATCGGATTGGAGGAGCAAAAAGCTGGATAGGATGGATGGATGGATGGATGGATGGATGGATGACTAGATAGATGGATGAATAGATAGATAGATAGATAGATAGATAGATAGATAGATAGATAGATAGATAGATTATAGTTGGATGGATGGATGGATGGATGGATGGATGGATAGTTGGAAGGATGAATGGAAGGTTGGATAGATAGATAGATAGATAGATAGATAGATAGATAGATAGATAGATAGTTGGATGAATGGATGGATAAACATCTAAATGCATTTACTTTGCTGGAAGCTTCACCTTCAGAGTCCATTTTGGAGATATAACTGGATTGAGTTCAAATTCAAGCACATTTTTTAGTATTTTCTGTTTGTTTGCTCTAGTTTTACACAAAAGGCAGCATTACCTCATCAAAACACTCAATCCCAAACTTAAGGATGGTTTTCTTTAACAAGCCGATTTGTTCAAAAGGCATTTTATATCTAAAATCCTAAATTAAAATTTTCAAATGTATATTTGTCTCATTGACGAAAACCAACTCCCAAGTAGATTAAAATAAAACATTTTCTGGAAATTTAAAAAACGCCATATTGTTTTCCTAGAATCATTTCAAGTCTAAATAATTTGATTAAATAGTTCAGCTTTACTGACGCGATTCATAATCGATATTTATTAGTCTGATACAGGCCAATAGCCTTAATAGTCAACCAATTTATTAAATGAAGGAACCGTCTATCTCCTGGAGAAACTGGATAAAACAATACATAAAATATTAGCCTTGATAAAATCTTCCAATTGATTTTGTAAAACGTTTTTTTTTAACTATTTTTTGTTCCTTAAAAATTGGCAAGAAACTACATACATCTGCTGATATTATTCTCATAAAATTAAACAAATGTTAGTCGCTAGCTAAAAAAAAAAAAAATCACTTCCCGATTTTGGTCAAACTTGAACAAAGTTCCGTCGTAAATATCTATGAAACGCAGATAAATAACAGCGTTAAAACCGGAGAAAAAACTCCTCTTTCTAACAGAACCCATGCGATCAACTTTTTAACTTTAAAAGGATTAAATAAAGGTAAAATATCGACACCGACCAGATGAGATGCTAGCAGCTCCACCGGATCTCCCGCGAGAGCAAACAGACCCACCGACACGCGCCAAACGCGCAGGGATCTGCGCAGGGCCGGAACTCGTTTTATTTCGCTGTGCGCTCACAAGGGGTATTACGGTAATCACGTTTTTACCAGTTTTCACTTTAAAAATATGATTTCTCTGGTTCATATCGCAAAAATGTTTAAGGCATATGACTCATTTTATCAAAAGAAAGGGGATTTTTTCTTAATTTACTACAAACAAACTTGAGGAGTTTATACTCAAAGCTCTAGAGCTGTTTCTAACTTAATATATTGATTTTTAAATAAATGTTCAGACTCAAGTTGCAGACTTCCAAACACTAAAACAGGTTTTGTTTTTCTGGTTCCTCAAGTTGGGCTCTGCATGTTGCAGCAATGGTGTCAATGAAAAAACAAATCTAAGAAATGTTTGTGGAATGGCTCAAAGACATCAAAGTCCAGATAAAAAAGGCTATTTTAATCCGGTTTATCTCCCCATCCATACGTCCATGCTGATTGGGTAAATGTAATTCGATTCATCATCAAAGGAAAACAAATGATAATTTAGAAACATCCAATATTAATCTAAATTGGAAAGAGACGAAATGTATAAAACTTTAATGATTTATGTTTTTCCACATTTTTTTAAACAACCACCAGTTATTGAGTGAAAGCAGTCGGTTATTTTCTGTCATGTTGGAGTCACCAATTAACCAATTAACACAGATGGACGTGCAAACTCAACTCAAAAAGGCTCCCAGCCGGGATTTGAACCCGGAACCGTCTGGCTGTGAATGAGTGAGACCAAGAATGAATCCCATTTTCAGGGTTAAAGTATGAAAACACATCTTTCCAAATGAAGTTTTATATATTAATGTAAAGGATGTTGGCGGGGGGAAAGATGACTGTGTCTGTAAACACCAGACAGAAGACAGAAGACAAAGGAAAGCTGATTGCAGGCAAGTGGAAGTTACCACAAATCAAATGCTGGTAACAAAAACAAAGCTGTTTATTGAACGGGCATTCACACATCGGCCCCAATCTGCCTCCCTTGTCTCGACCTTTCGGCTAATCAATCACATTCTGGCGGACTCTGTCTTTATCCTCTGATTGCTTGTGGTTTGTTTGAGCCTTCCCTGAATACACAGCAGGTTTAAAGCTTTCACAACACATTTATTTACCGTTAATGCCACCAATCAAACATCCAGGCAGAACGGGGCAGAAAGCAGAGCCATTTGTGAGCGTATTAAACAAAAACAAAAATGTTTTTAATACCTCTTTGAGGAAAACCTGAGACAAAAGCCACGGCCCATTTGTTTTGTCTTTACTCCAACATAGTATATTAAATAAAAGATTAAACTCTGAGGTGAGATGAACAGGAATAAAGTCTCTAGGGGAGTGGTTCCGCTGAAGTAAATAGATCCACCTTACATATATACTATACCATATTTGAAAAATGAAAAGTGTCCAGCCCAAATCAGATTTAAATCCCAAAGCTGCTATACAGAGTTTTAATTCCTGGATTTTTCCTCCATTTCCAGACAGTCTCTGTCTGATTTCACCGTCCTTTTTATTTTGAAGCAAAAGTTTGAGTCCATCTGAGGAAGTAAGAAATATAAATGCATTAAAAGGGAAAAAAGGGAAAGGGAAAACTTCATGAAGTCTATCTATCTATCTATCTATCTATCTATCTATCTATCTATCTATCT